ATCGAGTCTATTCTAGTCAGTCAACTGTGAAGTGTCATGTTTGTTGTGCATTGCCTTTTCTTCGAGAAGTTTCTCCAACTGCCGATGAGTGTCTCCTCAATTTGAAAGCTGAGGTAACAAATAGGTGCCATAAACGTTTTTTTATATTTAATTCGAAACTATTATGTTGCGAGTAAATAGTATTTCCTTCTGTAGATTTCCCTCTTGCTCATCTGTGAGACTGTGAGTAACGCGCGCAATTAACAATCTTGCATGGGACCTTCTCTGTGTTGCCTGGGTTGACGTTCATACGATCATGCTACCGTAACCGAAGCCGATTTTTGATGGCCTGCAAACCTGTTTCTAGTTGCCTGGAACGTTTTTTTAAGGCGGAACGCTTTTTTTTATGTGAACCACGAATTTTAGAATTCCAGCCTGGTGAGCGAAACTACGCAATCGAAAAAACATTGTTTACATTTTTTGCGGGAACTCATCGCAACTGATTTCCGGACAAGCTTCGCTGCATCGTATTCCATCCAACGCACCAGAAACCTTACTTTTTTTCTAAATAGTTGGCCAAAGAGCGAAGACTGAGAAATATATTAAATGCAAGAATTTCAATCTAAATGTGTCAGCAAGATTTTCTGAAGGCGAAAATTTGGCTACTGAAGCATCGCCAAAGATCTTGCAATATTCATCCACTCTCTGCACAGTGGGTGGTCACTGACTCAATGGTCAGTAAAAATCACATACTAGTCAGTAGTCACTGACTCACTGGTCACCGTCATTCTATGATCAGAGCACTGCATGGCCATTTTTGTTCCACTCTTGATAACTCATCATGTATCATGTATGTAGTATGTGTGGCTAGTGGCTACTGCCCAATTTTCCAGGCTCCAGCTTAGCTTGAAATGGGTTTTAGATGCAATTTTCATATTTTACAAATCACCTACAGAATATTCTCATATTACTCTGGAATCTGGAGTTGGAGAGACTTTCAATTAAAATTACATTTGGCATCCAACTCCAATTTCTGCCTGCTGATCTAAATCCAATTACAATCCATTTCCAAATGCCATTGGATGGTTAACCAATCAATCTGAATTTTATATTTATTGGTAATTATTTGGTTTTGGTCTAATGGAGTGAAGGTACATATTTATCTAAACTGTAGCCTTGTCTAGTCATACAATAACGAACTTAAGCTTAAGCCAAAGGTATGAACTTACCTGGTAATCCTCCAGCTCTGCCTCACTAAATTGGCTTTTTCCTTGGCCCATTGTTTACCGTTAGTTAATAATTTACGCTTGATAAAATTACGTTTGGCTGCAAAATTCTATCTAGGTATAGGCTAGCCCAGACTAGCGACCTCTACATTACGACGATCGAAACCAAGCCCGCGGTAAACAATGTCCTGCACAGTCAGCTGATACGTTATTTAAAAATGAAAACACTTTCACTTGTTTGGCTTGTTCATTCTATTTGCACTCACTTTTACTGACTTCACTGAACTGAACTGAAATTCGGTTAATCTCTGGCACGGATCATAAAAAAAATGCGAAAAGAGTTCCGAAAACGGCACAGTAAAAAGTTAAAAATTTAGAAATTTGGGATTCCGGTGCTCATTAACCATTATTATATATTTAAGACTAGTATCATTTAAGACGAATTCCTAGTTAATATAACGCTAACCTCGTTGAGGTTGGCTTATAAAATCTTGACTGGAGCTTTTGGTTCTGATTCTGAATAAATACTATTCCCTCGAAAACCCACCCTGAAAATACACTCTAAAATAGGCTAAATATTTGGCATGTACCATAATACTGATTATATAATCACAATGATTTAACAATGATTATTTATTTAATTTTCTTATTTACCTCTATTGATTATTAAAATGTTTAAAGATTGTATTTATATATTAATATATACATATGTTGCATGAGTTATTGTGGAGTTTAGGTATAAAAATAACATACGTACAAAAATTTTTTATGAGATGCAATGCAAGCTCTTTATTACAACACTTCTCTATAACTTCATTTCTTGGTAATTTGAAACAAGAACTAACACCGGAGGCCACGGCTATAAGCTAAAAAAACTGCGCTGCAACTTCTCCACGCGCCAACATTTCTTCTCGCTTCGAATCGCCGACATGTGGAACAGCCTCCCCGATGACATCGTTGGCGCTCCAAGTATGAACGCGTTCAAGAACAGACTATATAAGGCTATGGTTTAACACACTTTTAGCTGTCCAATCCATTGTTGAATTAATATATTCATTCAACCATGGTCCAAGCTATCTGAAATTTTGCAGACTTGCGTAAAGTCGGAGAAAATGCATGAATCAATTGACAAAATAAATAATTTTGATAATTTGATTTCTTTTATGTATTAAATTAATTAAAAAATTATTTTTTTTAATATTCGAAATTAAAATTAGAAAATTATTGTACATGTTTTACATTGGAGACACTGGATTTTTTAGAAGTGTTGTCTTTAAAAAGTAATTTTTAAATGTATATTATTGTCATTCATTTTACAACACTTCTCTTTAACTTCACTTCTTGTTGTCCGTCTGCTACAAATCTTATAATCGATATTTAACACACTTCTACCTTTCCAATCGATCTGAAATTCTGCACACTTGCATAAAGTTGGAGACAATGCATGATTCAATTGATAGAATAAATAATTTCGATTTTTTTTTAATTTTGAAATAAAATTTAAAAAATACTTTTTTTAAATATGATAATAAAATTAGAAATTCATTCTATATTTGTAACATCGCAGACACTGAATTCTTTAGAAGTGTTGTCTTTAAAAAGTAATTTTTAAACGCATATTATTACAACACTTCTCTTTAACTTCACTTCTTGTTGTTTGTTAAATTGTTTGTTTGTCTGCCTACTACAAATCATATAATCGATATTTAATTCACTTCAACCTCTCCAACCGATCTGAAACTTTGCTCATCTGCGTAAAGTTGGAGACAATGCATGAATCAATTGACAGAATAAATGATTTTACAAATTTAATTTTTTTTTAAATATTATAAAATTGAAAAAAAATGTTGTCTGCTTCAAATCTTATAATCGATATTTAACACACTTCTACCTTTCCAATCGGTCTGAAATTTTGCATACTTACGTAAAGTCGGAGGCAATGCATGAATCAATTGACAGAACAAATCATTTTGAAAATGTAATTTTTTACATATATTAAAAATTTTGAAATTAATTTTTTTCAACATATGAAAATAAAATTAGAAATTAATTGTACATGATGTGCAACATCGGAGACACTAGAATTTTTAGAAGTGTTGCATTTAAAGTAATTTTTAAACATATATGCATCGGCTTTAGTGCATCGGCTTGATTTTATCAAGACAAAAGTTCAATATCATGCATATGTATCAGTTTGCATGTGTTCTTCTTCCAATGTCAACTGCATCGGCCACATTTTCCTTCACCCTTCAAGGAACTTTGATGCTACTGCAGAACAATCCGCCCAATGCAGCGACCTTGAGATCCTGTCTTGTCCACACGTTTTTTACTAAGTAAAGCTACGAATACTAGCACCACCACTTGAGCTCATTCAGTGTGTGAAAGCCGCGAGTGGAAGTTGATTTTCTTCCAGTCTAGTGATTTTTTATTAATGTCAGCAGTCACTCTATATAGGCGATCAAGGTTTATTGAATCCCAGATGAACATGACCCAGATCAAAGACGATCGAATAGTTTCATGTTAATCCAGAATTATACAGCGAGAGTAGACTGAATTAATTAATCTTCACAGGTTGAAAATCATCAATCAATCAATCATTCAATCAATTACAGTACAGTGATAATAGGTGATATTCACTTGGTGAAAATGAAACGTTATAGGAAAATTTTACTATTAGCATTCTGAAATCCCAACAGAAGTACACAAGATTTTTGAGCCTCTTTGCCAGCGATGGTGCGGCACAAAATTTTTCAAGTCGTGCTGGTAGCATATATAACATTGTTTGCACTTCCGTCTAATGCATTTAGTCAAGTTGTTTCAGATAAAGTTACAAATCAGCCTGGTCTTTTATTATCGCGGGATCTTCGTTCTGTTTTGAAAGTTCAGGGACGGACGCAAGCTCCGAGTGGGAGAAGAAATGTCATCAGGAATCTGGGCGGTGATGCCTCCATAAAGCTTACAAGTATACTTAAGTCAGCGTTTAATATTCCTGATGACCTCTACTTCGATAGCGTGAGCATCAAATAGTTATTGTTAAAATTTTTATGCAAGATTGAAATTACTTACACTCGTTATTTATACATGAGTAACCCATTTCGCCGCAGGCTTGAAAATCCTCTTCTATCATGTCATGTTGTACTGTTAAAGGATTTTCTCGAATTTAGCGTGCAAAATAATTTTTAATTTATTTAGAATTATTTAAAAACTAATATATGGCTAGGATGCAATTTTCAATACAATACGAATTCAGCTCCGCGAATATGTTCGCTATAATATGAAATTCGACGTTGCCTCTCTAAAGCTTACAAGTATACTCAAGTCAGCGTTCAGTATTCCTAATGACCTCTACTTCGATAGCGTGAGCATCAAATTTTTGTTGTTAAAAATTTTGTGCAAGATTGAAACTATTTACAGTCGTAATTTCTGCATATCAAGTAATGCATTTCACCGCTGGCGTGAAAATCCTCTTTTATCATTTGTCACGTCGTACTGTTAATGGACTTTCTCAAATTTATCGTGCAATCGAATTTTTAATTCATTTCGAATTATTTCAAAGTTTAAATAAAGATAGGATTCAATACAATATGAATTCAGCTCCGCTAATTTGTTCACTAAAGTATGCATAATATTCAAAGTTCAGCAGTGTGCATAACTCAAGCCATACATTATCTCAAGCCATATTATTAATAAATTTATGAACTGTGAATTCAATAAGGCACGGAGGAGCATGATTATTTGTTATTTATATTATTTTTTCTTATTTAATCATGGAAACAATTTATGATTTACCAGCAGGTTAGCCCGGTGTTGCTCGGGATATGTTAGATCTGAAATCTGTGAATCCCGTTATCTCGAATCGCGTGGTCCCGAATCTTGTTAACAGTGATAAATCCGATTTATGCCATTAAACGAAACTTCAAACTCTCAATCTACATTGAACTGAGTCATCATAGTTCTTTGACGTTCCAAAATATGTTCCAAAAAGATTACAATTTCAAATTTGTTAGCCAATCCTTTCATTCTAGTATCGCAATGCTTTATTTTTCACACACTAATAATACATTTTCTGGTCCGGGTGATGTTCCAATATAATAGGCATCGAGGATACTTACAGCCCTAATACATTTGCGGTACCAGGCTTAAAACACGCAAAAGAGACGGATCAAATTCCCAAGTATAAATACGTATAAAAAACAATAAACTTGTTAGGGCAATGTAATCGACATGACGCCAGATAGGTTAGTTGTTCCGGAGAGTATATTGGATGTTCGCGAAATGGATCCGGACGGCCGTTGTTGCAATGTTGAAAATGTATAAATTTACGTCTGCACAGGCGCAGCTGGCGCGCAGCAGAGGCTACGGAGCCTCCACCCACCACGTCACGACGAAGGACGGCTACATCATCGCCCTGCATCGTCTGCTGCCGCCGCCAAACTCCAGCCGCGGGCCTCCAGCGCGGACCGCCGGCGCAGTGCTCATGATGTCGTCGCCCTTCGGTTCATCTTCTGACTTTATCATCAACGAACCACATCAATCTTTAGGTATATATTACCTTATCGTTTGCATACGTTTGCATACGTTTGCAAAACATGCTTAATTTAACATTCTTCATTACATTTTGTGTCCATCTCAGGAATTCACGCTAGATGAACGTTTTTCGATACAATCTACTACCCCTCTTTATTACATTGCGTTAGTCATTGTATTTTTCAGACATTCCAGTCATAGTAGTATTGTGGTTGATTTATAATAACATGCTATAGCCCTACTATATGTTGAATCGTTAAAACCTCCCGTAGCTTGCTTCTCCCTGGTGTTCCTGATAGTATCCTCAATTGCTTTAACTCCTCGTCTATAACGACGGTTTATCTTATTTCAGGAATTACTTGAATATATAATATGTAGAATCTACTCAGAGTTGGTTGATATAATTTTATTTTTCGTTTCTTTAGTTACTTTTTGATTAGTTGATGTTATTGACACCAATTATTATTAAATTTTTCTGCAAATTATTTGTTTGAATTAGTGTAACGTAAAGGCTTGTCTAAATTGATTAATTCTTTGACTAATTTCTTCACATTTTATTTTTGAAGCCATACTACTAAAACGAGTATTAGCAAGGCAAGGACTCAGTTTTTAGCGCATTTTCTCATTTAAGGAAAAAATGCCCTATTGTACTCTGTCCGTGACTTCACGTTTTCGTCGACGAGAAAATGTGCTCTCTGTCACTCACTGCAGTGAGTACTGAGTTATATTTTTTTAGTTTCCCTAACACTAGGTTGTCATGACAATATTTGAGCTCTGCCTAAAATCACTTCACGGTCTTTAAGAATTGCGTATGTTTGGAAGTCGTTGCATAAAAGCACTAATAAACAATATTTTTTTCAAACACTGGCATAAATGTGAAGAAATTGAGGCTATTGCATGTGTACTATATGTAAAACGACGCGTTAGAGGATTATCGATGAAATAAGTTATGGTAAGATAAAACTCAAACGACTACTGATAATACGAATAGTTTTGTCAATAATTTTCCGTGTTGCTATTTAACACTCTCTCTAAATAAGTGAAACATACAAAATTAGCATTTGGTCTCTAGGCTTTCCTCCTCAAACCCTTAGGGCAGCTTTTGGATTCCATATGTTCTTGTCCGACAAACTTGTAATGTATCAAGGAGTTATACATAAGCCCTCTATTTGAAGTATGTTTCTCATAATATTTTTGAAATCACAAACAAATATCCAACACAAAGACAGGCTAAAATAAGCCAATGTTTTCAGGAACCGATATCCCTAGAACGACGTTTGTTATATGTTTTTTTTATATGTTATATGTTTTTTCGCGTTAATAAATGTTCACAAAGCTCGATAAATCTAAAAACTTAAAGTTCGATGAGTTCATTTTGTGCCTGCATTGGTAATTTTGAATGTATTAACGAAACCAATATTACTGTGTTCGTGTCATCAGGATACCTGCTGGTCGACGCAGGCTACGACGTTTGGCTCGGCAACTTCAGAGGCTCGCGCTACGGCCTCAACCACACCCGCCTCAACGACGACGACCCGCGCTTCTGGCGCTACAGGTGCTGCCTCTAAAATTAAATAATGTTATGAGTTAATTAATTAGTTGATTATTTCTGACTGATTCATTCTCTAATATCAATCACGCATGCCTCGGCCACTACAACCCGCGCTTCTGGCGCTACAGGTGCTGCCTCTAAAACTAAATAATGTTATGGGATAATGCTCCAAGTATGAACGCGTTCAAGAACAGACTAGATAAAGCTATGGAAAAATATATTTTCAGACTTGAAATGCCTAGCACCATATCGAACCCGGTGGAAGTCTAGTAGCTGCTTCAAACCTGTCCCTTNTTCATTCTCTAATATCGACCAAGCATGCCTCGGCCACCACGACCAGTGCTTCTGGCGCCACAGGTGCTGCCTCAAAAACTAAATAATTATATGGAATAATTAACTCATTGATTATTTCTGTATGATTCATTCTCTAATATCAACCACACACGCCTATATATCGGCGCTAACCGCGTTACAGGTGCTCTCTGAGAAAGTTTGTTTTTAAATTATGTTATAATTATTCACTCGTCTATGTATCAACTCATTTGCAAACATTGAAACTCATTGCATATAAAACATGAGAACAACGTATCTCTTTCCATTTTCTGTCATAAAAAATTCTTCTCACTGTCAACAGCTTCGACGAAATCGCCCAGTTTGATTTGCCCGCACAAGTGAACTTTGTACTCGAGCGCACCGGCGAGGCCAAGATATTTTTCTTCTGTTACTCGGCCTCTACCATGGCCTTCTTCATGTCGGGGACTCCAAAGACCAGCTTCATGAATAAGGCGAGTATAATAGATTCTGGTACATNATGAAAGCAAACAGAGATCAGTAACTGCCGAAAAATTATTTCCTACTTTTTAGTCCACATGAAAAACGTGGTCTTTAAAAATTTTTTTATAAATTTTTTTCTTCGGAAGCTCTCGTGCATGAGAACCATCTTTATAAATAACTAAGTATATAACTCGGTTAGAGATATTTCAGTCTAGTATTTAGTGTAAAATGATAAACTATTAGTTGGAAGCTTCTGAAATGAACACTTCACACCAATAATTTGTTTGACAACTAGAGAATTTTCTAACCGACCAATTGTGTGTTCAAATGTCCATGTCAACCACAGATTCGTTTAGCCGTTACGTTTGCTCCAATTGGTGACTGCCGACACCCGACTAAATATATCAGAACATCGGCTCGACTCATGCTCATTATTCAGGTGAGAAGTTCTTGAAAATTCTGTGCATTTCTTGTCTGAATATGAAGTAATTGTGCTATATTTACCGCACTGTTCGAAGGCAAGACACTTTTTTGCGCGCTTCTTTTTATCCTGACCCAGTTTGGCTAAAAAGGCTAACCACTTCTGCTTCCGCTCTCTCCTCGTGCTGTCGATGAAAAAGTGGCCTTGCTCAATTTGAAAAATATAACGCATTCATTTTTTCTGAATGAAGGGAGTCGAGTTAATTCATTTTTAATAGCATGAGCCAAGTTTCTTTTGTTTGCCCTTATAGTAATAGCTACATTTAGAGTGAGAGAAAATGCTGTAAATTTAAATCGTTAATTATAATTAATTATAAAGTTTCTAAAACAAATATTAATAATAGTTAAGTATAAATTGTGTGAAATAAATCGCCAATGATAGTTAATTGTGAGTCATCTACGCAGGACGTAGCAGAGAAAGTAACCCGGGGGCCGCTGTACCGTGGCTCCGACCTCCTCTCCTCGGTGCTGTACGCGCTGTGTCATGGGGGCAGTCCCTTCAGGAGGATATGTGTCTTTGTGGTCACTTCATTGATGGGAGGCACGAATAAAGGATATTACGGGAAGGTGTGTATTTTGTTAATCTAATATACAATCAATTGATTTTATGTAGTTTAAATTGATTGAACACATATTTTGTCCGAATAGATACTCAAACAATTTCTATCGTATCGTTAAGTGATTAAAGAAAAAATGATTGAATAAAGGTTTTGTCCGATTAGATTAGATACTCAAACAATTTCTATCATATTGATAAGGGAATAAAAAAATAAATCGATTGACCAAATGTTTTTTGGTGATGTGCCGCTCAAAAAAAAATTCCATTAACAGAATGGCTTTCCATATGCACTCGCCAGCGTATTATCAGGCATGTCTGTGAAAGCTTTGGCGCATTTCGCGCAGCAGGCGTTTACTCGTAAGTACCATTCAGACTAAGTTAAACAGATATTACTGAAATTAATTACCGGAATACTTTTCGTATATTTTGGGGGCCGATTATTTTGCTAAGAAGCTATAACCGATTTGATGTTGTTTGAGATTTACGGCATGGTTGTCTGAAATATTGTGATTCAAGGTCGCGACTTTCATGACGGCTTACAGTTACGCGACACTAATTATAATTAGGCAGAATAATCTATAAATGAAATTGACTCCAATAAAACTTTAACTTGATCGAGTTATTATTCATTATATATGAATGAAATTCGAATATTGCTTAGGCACTGTAAAAACTAAGCAATATTGCATCTCATATCGAAACGCTTGGTTTCCAAACCATTGCAGCTCGCCTCCGAATGTACGACTACGGCTCTCCAGCTGCCAACCGAGCTGCGTACGGTTTCCCAACTCCTCCGCATTACAACATGTCTGACGTGACCGCACCCGTCGTCGTCTGCAGCGCGCCAAACGATTCACTGATGTCGCTGCAGGTGCCTTGGAAATTTTCACTGTTCTGTTTGCCACGTTTAACTGATTTTTTCAACTGTGAGGTATCGACTTAACCCTGTTCAGTGACGAGGCTACATGGACTAGCTGCCATTGCTTACATAAAAACAATCAATAAAGAAATCGGTGCCTTGAATGGTCTCCGTTTCAAGCCATGAAGATGTAGGTGTTAATCGTAAACACGTTCAAGAAAGACATAAAATTGAATTAAATTTATCCCGCATGCTGAAACCTTTTTTTCGGTGCTTCACCAGTTACCGTTTACTGCTAAATTGACCAGTTTAATAGCAGCATTTATTGCTAATTGAAGCTGCGTTAAATTATCAGTTGTCACTTTTCCAGGACCAGCAGATGTTGATGCAGGATCTCCCCTACTTCGTTAAAAGGATACTGGCGCCACAAAAAGACTACGGGCACTTGGATTTGGTTTATGCGAAGAACGCTAAAGAAGTAATTTACAATGAAATAATTGAGCTCATGAAAAATTACTGAAACAATGTAAACAAATTCTTTACAGGTTTTCGAGTGAAAAATATGATTCAAACGATGTGTGTTCAGTTATTATTCCCTTTGTTTTGGAAAATAATTATTATGTATGTTAAAGCTTACGTCTATCTGGTAATTCCAATCCCAAACAATCGCATGATTTGACAAAAATTAAAATAAAGCCAGCTATAGCGATTGAGTCTTATTTCGAAAATCAGTGCCAAAGATATAGATTGTGTAATTACTGATGGCTATAACTGAGCAAAAATTCTTACAAAAATTGCTTTAATATTTAAGTTTTAATAGAATTCATGCGTGGAAAACCTCTTCGTGGTTTTAAGTTCCACACCAACCAAAGGTAGTCAAGCCACTCATGGAGAGTGGAGACCGTATGAGAGTATTAATATAACCGAAATAAGTATTTACAAATCTGTACTTTAGATCCAGTGCCTTAAAATAAAAAATAAAACTCATTACTCCAGATTCACAAGGCTTAGATCCATAAATTATTTTCAGAAATTGAAAGTGAATTACAACAGGACCGTCTTATAAGAGAGCTCAGTGGCTAAGCGTATCTGAGTTAAACAAGCCATTATGGTTATATGTACTTATGAAGCACATATATTTTATAGCCACACAAGCCGTTACAGAAAAGAGTCTCTTAAACTTTTTGTAAGAGATTCAAAAAAGGAGACAAAAAAATCTATTAACCTTTTTATTAAAATTAAAAGTACTATAGGGTAGTAGATGAGAAAGGAATACGGACTTAACTAACACTTGAATAGCGCTTAACATGAAAAGAGTGAACCTAGTCCAGGGTTCACTGTTAATTTATTTTAAAAGTCAATTAACCATTAGACTCCAAGACAAACCATGGTTTGAAATTAAGCTAGTCACAGTACTCTATGATATGAACAAAATGGCAAAGAAAGAACTTATATTAATTTGTTTTACCGTATCAAAATTTATACTTCGTTTTACTGTAAGAACAAAAAAAAAAAGATTTTTGCGTGACACACAGAATTCTATTATTTTAACAATTTTTGAAGACACCCGATCGTGACTATCAAATCTTGTCAAATTTTATAATTATATCGTTTTAATAGAGATTCCAAGAGACGCAGTTGCTGCACTGGAAATGCGGTAACAGAATAAGGGAGGATTGTGAGGTGGTCACTGGCTGTGCCTTACTTAAATGGTGAGTATTAATGAAGAAATTATATCAGTTCTCACTGCAGTGAGTGACAGCGCGCACATTTTCTCGTCGACAAAAACGTGAAGTCACGGACAGACGGACGGACATGACGAGCACCATAGCGCTTTTTTCCAAAAACGAGTAAATGCGCTATAAATCATAAACTAGGATAAATCTCTGATTTTGGAAAAAATGCTGAAGTTTTTTATCCTGTGCGATTCATCTTGACCCAGTTCGTCACAGTAAAAAAAGTGTTTCAGTGCTACGTCTGCTCCTCGCTCTGTGGATATTAAAAACTGTCAAATCTGGAGAATATGATTAATTCCTTTTTTAAAGTGTAGGTAATTCCTTCAAATGAACCTTTTCTCCTGTTTGAATAATAATAAAATAATGGTGGCTTCTGCATTTATTAGGTCGTAGCCTCGTAGGCCTGTCGCTGATTCTTAACATCGCAAAACATTCACAGCTTTTTACGGTCTCGAACACGCAAGTCACCGCTCTAATTTTGCTTGGCATGACCGCCCGGCCTCCTCTGCGATTCTGACCAGAAACTGGCGCACAGAGCTGGGATCGAACTCGCGCCTCTCTGCTCCAATCTTGGTACTCTGAACTGCAACCACTGGGCCACTCAATGCAATGAACGCTGAATCGAAACTTCAAGTCAATGAAATGATGCTCGAGGATATTGAGCAATTTAAAAGTAATGTTATAATGTGGATTGAGTAGCAAGATCATTAGGCACTGCCATGACCTTTCATCGAAAAATTATTATTTCCTGTACCTCTCTGCAGCATTATTAATAGCTGTCAATCTAACAATAACGATTACTAACGCAGCGCACGTTTGATTACCTTGAAGATTATGAACGTAAAATCCCACAGTTAAAAAAACACGTTTGGGGAAATTTGATGACTCACATCAGCTGTCACGTAGGAATATATTTTCAACTACAAAAGAACTGAAGGGTATTTTATACTCATGAAAGTTTTTTTTGCTCAAAAGATCGTTTGAATTCAAATTGAATCTTTTATGCATGTAAGCATCGAAGATATTCGCAAACGTCGTATTCATGAATCGGCGTTACTGTCTCACGCATCTCTGTAACTATATTTCGTATCTTTTACTCTATTAACAACTGCATGAAGTTAATTCTAACTGCTTCATTGCAATCGTTATTTTAATGCATAATTATATACAGGGATAAGTACTCCATGGTAATTTTAGCCAATAAAACATCATTTGTATTATTAGGCAGTAAACAAAAGCAAGGTACAATGTGAAAAACCATAACAGATTGAGGCCTTAAAAATTTCCTCTATTAGAATGATCACTGTTCACAGACAGCATCGTCAGACCATGATGAACGATCTGGCACAATCAATCATTATTGTGAACAGGAGATATGAATTTGTTTATAAGCTTAAGGCTGTGCCGCCACGTTTTCTGCTCAATACTTTCTGTTATGTGTTGCTCGTGTTTTCTGGTGATGCTTAACATTGAATATTATTAAAATAACCACACTTGGCATGGTTCGCTAATGAAGCTCATCCTACTTAATGCCTCTTGTACGGTTCCATCCATGCAATGTGGAATGCTTCACATTTTCTGTTGAAAGGATAGGTTCCAAACCCCAATGAATATTATGCATAGAAATATTAACTAGCAAATAAATAATTAGTTAAACATAAATCGGTCAATAATAAATTGGTGAAGCTGGTTTAATTAAGTTTGTTTATTGATATAAATTTAATGTGGACTGAATTAATCAAGGACACGAGCGGCCTAGCCAGCGAGAAGTTCATTAGAGCGCAGTTTTTTTCTGGGTTAAGATGAGTACAAAAACTGTACGTTAGTATATCTACTTTGTATAGCGCCCATGGAAAGAACAGCGGCGGGCATTCAAGGTTGTACGGCGTTACATCTGCTTTAAATAAACTATTGTTGTCACTAATAATTGGGGTTTGGGATATGTTTCACAATAATAAATGAAAAGCCTGAACTGATATCATTTATTTCTGTCCCGATTCTGAATGCTCAGTGTCCAAACATTTTTATTGTAGATCTCGTAAAAAATATGATGCCATTAGTAGGCAGGTAGCGATCATTTTCCATTCAGTGCTATGCACTTAGATGTACTCTCAAGATTTGTCACTCCACAAATGCAACTATGGATCTAGTGAATCTAGTTACGGTATGGATGAAGTTATGTATAACATTAAACTTTACCATAGTTACATCGTAATATAACATTTCAAATTTTTTATTTCACATTTGGTACAGATTTTTCAATTAATCACCGAACGCATTCTGAAGTATCCCCTAGAACGATTATATTCTAATGAAAGAGTTTTACAGAATTGCAAAATATTTCTCTGGGTTCACTAAATTGATGAGTATATACAACGTATAAAAAATTAATTTTTAGGGTGCCGATAGTTAATTTTTTCGTAAAAATTTACCTACATGTTATCATTGCCAAAGCCACAAATCCTTTGTTCTATACTGTTTTTATGTTTCAGGTCCTGCATATACACGAGGAGAGTTTCGGCAAGTTCCTCGCCCTATTGCACTGACCTTGGGCATCCAGTATGCCTAGAACAGAATATATTTACCCAGCCATTCGAGTTTATATTTAGTGCGAGGATGTGGCGAGTGGTAGTCGATTCGAATTCTCTTTCCACGTTGGGGAAATTTTCTTACTGAATAGCTGGTTGAATAACCCAGCAGTGCCCGGGTTGAAAAATCCATGAGATTTTTGATGTTCCGTGATTCCAGCAGTAAAAATCTAGTTTTATTTACAGGTGATATACTTTAAGTATCGTGGTTTTCTGCCTAATCAACCCAATATATTGGAAGCGTCAAGCCTCAAACCGACACAAAAACTAATTAATGAAGCAGGGTAAAGTGCGTTTTCATAAATAGAATACAAGGTTACTGTTATCCTAAGATTGATATATCGCCTAACTCAGTGCGCTCAAGAGCATTTCGACTCATTTGCTGAGAATTTGAAAAGGAATTAAAAGTTTAATAATTTAAGTTCTCATTTTAGGTGAACAACTTCACTCCCGATGCCGGGCCAGAAAATTTTTTATGCGCTTATTATTTTTGTAGCATTTTGCTTATTTTTGGCAAATGGATTCAGCCCAGATGTTTCATATAAGGAAACATCGTATCATCCACAACATATATTATCGCGAGGTCAGCGTTCTGTGTTGAAAAGTCAGAGACCGACGCAGGCTCAGAGAGGACGACGAAGAAATGTTAGCAGGAAGCTAAGCGATGGTGCCTCTCAAAAGCTTACCAGTGTTCTCAAGTCAACATTTAGTATTCCTAATGAGCTTTACTTCGATACGGTGAGTGTCAAACATTATTTGAACGAAGCTGTCATGATTTTGTTCATTATTAAAATATTAGGGATAGAAAAATGTCATTTAGCGATTCTCTTTCAGCCAAGAAAAGCGGCTGCAAAATCATGCCTCGATTCATCGATTTTTTCAAATGATATACTTTTTTATAAATACAATGAAATTTATAATTATTTAAAAGAACTAATATACTTCTACTACATTTTTTACCCGAGTATCACCGCAACGAGGTTAATTGAGACGTCATTTTCCAGTGGCCACATTTTGGCAACGAAGCAACCTGTTTTGGGCAATGTGATCGACATGACGCCAGATAGGTTAATTTTTATGGATTGGAACTGGAATCGGAATTGGATACGGATTGGAGATCATTGGATGATCGCGAAATGGATCCGGACGGACGTTGTTACAATGTATAAAATGTATAAATTTACGTCTGCACAGGCGCAGCTGGCGCGCAGCAGAGGATACGGGGCCTCCACCCACCACGTCACGACGAAGGACGGCTACATCATCGCCCTGCATCGTCTGCTGCCGCCGCCAAACTCCAGCCGTGGGCCTCCAGCACGGACCGCCGGCGCGGTACTCATGATGTCGTCCACCGCAGGGTCATCCTCCGATTTTATCATCAATGAACCACATGAATCTTTAGGTGTCAATACCCGCTTTGGATTCCTAGCTCACAGTATTATCAATTAATAATTTTTGATCGATTATTAAATTATTAAATGAGTATATTGGCAATTATCAACGAACATTTTTAAATTTAATATAAGGGTAACATCAAAAGTTTGCCTACAAGCAATTTTCATGCAGAAAACATAATATTTTTTCAAAATGGTATGTGGTGTGCTTGCGTATCGAGGATTATGGTGAACGTTTATCATGTCATTGTTTAATTTATTTATAGATAACGATATTTTGCTGATACTTATATTTTACTGATATCTATATTATTTATAGATAAAGATAATTACTGTGTTTGTGTCGTCAGGATACCTGCTGGTCGATTATGGATTGGAACTGGAATCGGAATTGGATACGGATTGGAGATCATTGGATGATCGCGAAATGGATCCGGACGGACGTTGTTACAATGTATAAATTGTAATAATTTACGTCTGCACAGGCGCAGCTGGCGCGCAGCAGAGGCTACGGGGCCTCCACCCACCACGTCACGACGAAGGACGGCTACATCATCGCCCTGCATCGTCTGCTGCCGCCGCCGAACTCCAGCCGTGGGCCTCCAGCGCGGACCGCCGGCGCGGTGCTCATGATGTCGTCCACCGCCGGGTCGTCCTCCGATTTTATCATCAACGAACCACATGAATCTTTAGGTGTCGCTTTGGAGTCCTAGCTCACAGTATTATCAATTATTTGGTTGATTGTTAAATTATTAATTAACTATAGTGGCAAGTATCAATAAACTTTGGTTAATTTAATATAAGGTTAATTTCGCAAGTTTGCCCTACAAGCGATTTTCATTCAGAAGCCATAATATTAATTCAAAATGGTATGTGGTGTGCTTGTATTTCAAGGATTATGGTGAACGTTTATCATGTCATTGTTCAATTTATTTATAGATAACGATATTTTACTGATATTTATGTTTTACTTATATCTATATTATTTATAGATAACGATAATTACTGCTGTTGTGTCGTCAGGATACCTGCTGGTCGACGCAGGATACGACGTTTGGCTCGGCAACTTCAGAGGCTCGCGCTACGGCCTCAACCACACCCGCCTCGACGACGACGACCCGCGCTTCTGGCGCTACAGGTGCTGCCTCTAAAACTAAATAATGTTATGAGATAGTTAATTAGTTGATTATTTCTTACTGATTTGTTCTCAAATATTAACCATGCATACCTCGACGACGACGACCCGCGCTTCTGGCGCTACAGGTGCTGCCTCTAAAACTAAATAATGTTATGAGATAGTTAATTAGTTGATTATTTCTGACTGATTCATTCTCTAATATCAATCAAGCATGCCTCGGCCACTACGACCAGCGCTTCTGGCGCTACAGGTGCTGCCTCTAAAACTAACTAATGTTATGAGATAATGCTCCAAGTATGAACGCGTTCAAGAACAGACTAGATAAAGCTATGGAAAAATATATTTTCAGACTTGAAATGCGTAGCACCATATCGAACCCGGTGGAAGTCTAGTATCTATTTCAAGCGTCAGTCCTAAAAAGATCCGGTCAAATAACACGATTTTAGATCTTCTGTGAATAAGNGGTTCCTGGGCGGAGATTTTTGTATTATAATAATTAATTACTTTATGATTGATTGGAAAAAATTATTAGTGATTAGTTTGTTTTAGCTTGATCTTAACAGAACGTATTAATATTTTACCAGTCAAATTCGAATTCATTTATTATTATACATTTTCGGTGCATTTATTACTTATAATGTTTATTAACCATATTTGCTGTCTTTACATCCAATTACCAAATACCGGGTGTAAAATTACGCAGTTTATAAGGAATTTATAAGCAAAGAATATGCCAAGCAAATTTACCATATCGATATTAAAAACGTTTCGGAGTCCAGCTCCATCATCAAGTTCTATTCGAGAGTCCTTTTTAGCGCATTTTCTCATTTATGGAAAAAATGCACTATTGTGCTCGCCATGTCCGTCTGTCTGTCTGTCCGTCCGTCTGTCCGTGACCTCAAGTTTTCGTCGACGAGAAAATGCGCTCTCTGTCACTCACTGCAGTGAGTACCGAGTTATATTTTTTTCGATTTAATGTTGGCTAATTTTTAAGTTTCATGTCAGTCTTAGAAGAAATTTACTTTTAAATGATAGATTCTTTTGTCAGATTGTCGAACTGATGATGGAGCTGGACTCCGAAACGTTTTCAATATCGATAAGGAGAATTTGCTTGGCGCTTTCTTTGCTTTTAATTCCTTGTGAACTTGCATATTATAAGCAGACTCATAATATAAGTACGCAGTTTATTATATTTATTGTGAAAAAATAAAAATCAATTCTCACGTCTCACTCCATTTCCAATTGTGAAATTATTCAACTCGTTCACAGCTTCGACGAAATGTCGCTGTTTGATTTGCCTGCCCAAGTGAACTTCGTGCTCGAGCATTCCGGAGAGCGCAAGCTCTTCTTCTTCTGTTTCTCGGCCTCGACCGTAACTTTCTTCATGTCGGGGGCTCCGAAATATAGCTTCATGGATAAGGTAAGTATAAAATAATCCCTTGTATTACTAAGCTCTGCCACTACCATAACTTTCTTCATGTCGGGGGCTCCGAAATATAGCTTCATGGATAAGGTAAGTATAAAATAATCCCTTGTATTAGTAAGCTCTGCCACTACTATTGCTTTATTTACGTTGGGTACACCGAAATACAGTTTCATGGATAACGTGAGGTAAAGTATAAAAAATTCCTTAGATTACAAGTTCTGACCCTACGATGGTTTTCTTCGAGTCGGGGGACCCGAAATTAGCTTCGTGATTTAAGTGTGGATAGCCTTTAACCGCGTAATAGCCTTTGTTCATTCGAATTAATGCATCTCAGTTATCTGTTAATTTTAATTTCATGTATAATTTGAATTATCATATTACGTTATCTGACATTTATGCAATTAATAGTAAAGCATTTGTGTCGGTTACTTGGGAAACTCGATTATAGAGAGAACATCTACCTGATCATTTCGCAGCAGAGGATTTGTAAAGCAAAAGAATATTAATTTGATCGATTAATTTCTCAACTGATTAAAACTAACTACGAGTGTTGATGAGATTCTTTTTGTTAATAATAATACCGTTGCTCATATTAATACCATAGCCCATACAATTGGCTTAAAAATGCATTCAATATTCATGGATAATTTATCTTTACAGGACAGCTGTAACTTCTGTATGAAGATGTATTATGTAGATTAATGCTAAATGACAATCCTAACTTAATTTTCCAATCAACAGCTGAGCAGCCTTTTCAACTCATTAAACTATCATTGTTTAGTTTATATAATTTCAAGGTAAATTCTACTTCTCTAACTTTTATCGTAGCAAATTAATGAGATGTCTTATGGAGTCAAAGGACGGCTGGAAAACAACATCGTTCATGCGGTATGCTGGGTTGTAGCTGATGGCAGGGTCGCCATTCACGCGGCCCATGGACTGAGGTTGAGGAGAAATAAGTTCAGATAGTGTATATACTTGTGTTTGCGATTCAATTCGGTGCTAATTTTTACATATTCCTCTTACGGGCGATATTTTTTTATTTTGAATACCCATAACTTCCAGTTGACGGAACAACTCATTGATCGGTGTAGGCACACTGGGCGTCGGCGACCGTTCTGAAATATTAGGGCTAAATTTTTGGATTATTTTTAGGTTCAAATTTGATGGCACACTCATGTAGCCCCAGTTTTCAATCATAACTTGATCGAAAAGTAACCGACCGGGTTCTAATTGCAAACATAGCTTTTTATAATATGCCCCTGCAAGCGTAAACAAAAATGATAAGTCCGATTTAGTTTCCACGAAGAACACTAATCACTAAAGTGGTAATTATGCAAACGATGCTAAAAATAATCGCTTAGCGCGTTGCATGAATATAAAGCTAACGAAAAATTCTTATAACGACCAGAGCAGCGTATTGGTCAATATCTGTTTCTATTTTACAATGTTTTGTGTGCGAGGGTTGCTACACGAGTGCGCTATAAAATTTTGGCCAAAAGTCGTCCAAAAAATTCTGGACACCAATTTCATGATCAGTAGTCTTTTACTTTCGCTTTTGATTGACCACTCCGTTGACGCGACCATGCAGTTTGAATATTTATTTAAGGCTTGCGTTCAGCGCTTCTAAACGTTCGAATTTTGTCAAGCTTCTCAACAACCAACATAGCGGCAGCGTTGGTTGCAGGAAAGATTATTACACAATCCTGCATTACACAATACTGCACTACACAATACTGCGCTACACAATACTGCACTACACAATACTGCACTACACAATACTGCGTTACACAATACTGCGCTACACCATACTGCGCTACATAATACTGCACTACAAAATACTGCACTACAAAATACTGCACTACACAATACTGCAGTCTCCCCTCTTGCAGATTCGTCTGGCAGTCGCGTTTGCTCCTGTTGGTTACCTGCAACACTCAAGCAAATACGTGAAGGCAGTTGCGCGACTGATGCTCGCTATTCAGTTAAGTATCTAAAATATTATAATTAAAAGATTTCTGAACCATCAGAATGGATTCCCGTTCGTGTACTCAAGCCTTTTTTCGGGAATGTCTGTCCGGGCCGTGGCGCATCTCGCACAGCAAACCTTTGCTCGTAAGTATTATACTTTATCTAGAGAAATCAAGTATATTACACAATTTCAAAGTTAGTTACTGTGTTTTATGACAGTATTGTGAATAATTAACGGTTATGTAAATAAAATATCCTACATACGCATCATGTGGAAATTTTACCACGAACTGAAATTTCATTTCAAGTGGTGATATGTCATGGCATTGCAGTGTGAGCATTGAATTAGAAACATTGAATTAAATCAAAAAATATTTAAATTTATTTGATTCACATGAAATAATTTGAATAAATATAAAATAGGTAATATAAAAAATCAGCACAAAAATGTATTGTGTGTAATAAGATTTAATCACCTCAGATATGACAAGCAGTTTTTCTAACCACTTCAGCTCGCCTGCAAATGTACGACTACGGGTCGCCAGAGAAGAACAAAGCTGCGTACGGGTCCATAGCTCCTACTCTGTATAACTTTACCGACGTGACTGCGCCAGTTCTCTTCTGCAGCGCACCGAACGACGCATTCATGTCTGAAAAGGTGACTTTATTCATCGTTATCTTGGCCATGCAGGTGTATGGGCTTATCTTATTATAATAATAGCGGTTTCAGCGTTTATTGGGCCTTAGGCCTGTCGACGATTCTTAACTTCGCAGAACATTCACAGCATTTTGCGGTCTCGAACTCGCAACTCACTGCAACAATTCTGCTTTGCTTAACCGCTCGGCCTCGTTGCCGATTCTGACAAGAAACTGGCGCACAGAGCTGGGATCGAACTCGTGCCTCTCTGCGCCAATCTTGGTACTCTGAGGGGTTTGGTGAAGAAGTATTTTTTGAATACACGTAACGGAATGATAAAAATCCCATCCCCTTCCGACTAATAACTTTGTCAACAATTTATTATGGAGGCATTGTTTGGAGGTTTGGGAATTCTTGACACTAAAGACTATTATACTAATATTTTCATTCTTAAAGCAGTACAATTGATGCTATATGGAGTGGTAGCTCCACTACAAGCGTAACCCTTGAATGACGAAGACTAAAAACTCGTCCTAGGCGAGTTTTGGAATATTAGGAGNACGTGGCGTTCAGAGATGCACGTGGCGTTCAGAGATGCACGTGGCGTTCAGAGATGCACGGGCCGGAGAGAGATGCACGTGGCGTAGAGAGATGCACGTGGCGTGGAGAGATGCACATGGCGTTCAGAGATGCACGTGGCGTGGAGAGATGCACATGGCGTTCAGATATGCACGTGGCGTTCAGAGATGCACGTGGCGTGGAGAGATGCACATGGCGTTCAGAGATGCACGTGGCGTTGAGAGATGCACGTGGCGTTCAGACATGTACGTGGCGTTCAGAGATGCACGTGGCGTTCAGAGATGCACGTGGCGTTCAGAGATGCACGTGGCGTTCAGAGATGCACTTGGCATTCAGAGATGCACGTGGCGTTCAGAGATGCACGTGGCGTTGAGAGATGCACGTGGCATTCCGAGGTGCACGTGGATTTTCACATGTTGTAGTAGTGATGTTACAGGGGCATCAACCACGTGACTTGTCGTGATGTGCTGTGAAGTGGAATTCGGTTGATATTGAATACACGATTCGAGTTGCACAAGTATGCAAGTTAGCACGTGAGCTTAAGGCTGGCATTCAATGACTGAAATTAAAATCCTGCACCTTCCGTTAAAATCCGTTACAGCTCTATCGAGTGAAACTCAACGAGAGAAATTTGCAAGGCAATGGGCCCAAGCTGAGCAGTTCAGTTGCTTTGGAGCACTTCCGTCGCAGTCTCAATGTAGCAATTCGCGTCGCAGTTTCTAGGTAGCATGCAAGTTCCTTTTGCAGTCGCTTGGTAGCTGTGCGCGTTGCAGTCACTTGGTAGCATGTATAGAACCTAGTTTGAGGGCGAATTAATAAGTTATGTATACCTGGAGGTGTTGAGAAGGCGAGGAATATGGATCAAGCGAGGTAGAGCTCATAAGACGGCGATTGTTTCTAGACAGTGACACCGAGCGCTGTTTGTCTTGAACCCAGGCGAGCCTATTGTGAGGGAGGAATTCGGCGTCCTGTACGGCGTAGGAAAACTGTGCATGGTTGCTAGGATAAAAGGATCTAAAATTCAAGCCAGAGAGGTTCTTCTGTTGTCACGGTCACGCGAGCACTGTTTGCACTCGTAACTTTCACGTCACTGTTCGCCTCGCCCGTTTTCGTACATAAACGGTCACACAAAACTCATCGATACAGCTGCGATTTCTGAAAGAAATACGATCAACAAGTAATGACAACAACTTCGCTACATTCCTGTCGGGCCAACATCAATGCGACCATAATTCAACCATGAATGCGACGGCCGCGCCGGCAGCTATTCAATTGCTAGGCAACCCGAGAAGCAAATAGTAGCGCAGCGATTATACACACAGCCGGCAACCCATTCAAGTTACGTCAAAAGTTCGGTCAGACTCATCAGCCGCAGTACGGCCACGAGTTGGCAGCAACGTCACGCAAGTGGAAACCATCACAACCATTTCAAAGTACGGCCGTTGACAATTTACGGCCGGGACGGTAACTACAATAGCGGTACGGTAACTCGGTAGAATACGACCGTCATTACGGCAGAAAACCTTCGTGATTGTTACGGCCACGGCATAGCAATCGTACCACTCCACGAGATCGCACTACGGGTCAACCTTTCCTGGGTGAGCACGGTAAGTCAAACAGCGGTTAGATATTTATAATTTAGGACCTGTTGATTTAATTCTTTGATAAAGAAGTAACAGCGATGTTTCCATAGCAATAAATATCGAGTTCTAAATCTATTTACACGTTACATTTTTGCAATAGTTATTTGTCAACTTGGGATGTGCCTTGACTTTCGCCAGTTTAATTTTACCTGTAAAAATGTTTCATTTTGACTCTTATTTGCCTAGATCAATTCTTAGAAAGCCGTTAACGCCTTGTTGACGGTCTCGGGCCAGATACGCTACCGGTACCAATATTAACGTATGTTCAACGCACTAGAAATGCGAAAAGTGTTACGAATATTAAGAAAAAGTAATAATAATAATAATAATAATAAATTAAACAAAGCCAGTGTTGCAGAGAGATTGGAATTAATTACTGGAAAGTACATTCTGAGGATTTTGATTGAAATAAATACTTCCGTTTTCGTGTCTATCATTTTTCACATGTAGTTCTAGCCTCAGAAGTTGGAAATTATTTTCTTTATTTTTATTTATTATATTATGCCCTTTCGATAGTACCGATGATATTATGCCCTCCCAGTGATAGTCCACATTATCTACTAATTTAGAAGTACTGACGGGAAGGGCAGTTTTTATGAAATCATTCCTTTTAAGTGCTACAGAAAGATAAACGAACTCTTTTTTTTCAGATCTGAGAATGTGGCATAGACTGGAATTATCCTACGTAACAGTGCACAAGCCATACAGTAAGGCTTGAGTACTGTTGAATAAGCGCTTTATAAGGACGTTTCGGACAAATTTAGTCGGCCGCGAGCCGCGAGATGAAACTTGGTACACTAGGCGATACGTGCCGAAATTCGCAGTGAAGAAGACATTTCTTTCAAACTACTGTACAGATTTCAACGAAACTTTGAATATACAAACCTAACCTCCCAACGGTGATGTTTAGCTCGAGACAACTTTTTCGATTTTGCCTTCGTTCGCGAGTTATACGGAGATGCAGAGAAACGACTGGCATTTCTCGGGCCAATATCTAAACTTGCTTTGACAATTTACGTATAGCTGTTTAAATCACGAATGAGGGAAAATGGAAGAAAATTCGCGAACGCAGGCAAAATCTAAAAAATTGTCACGAGCTAAACATTACCGTTGGGAGATTAGGTTTGTATATTTAAAGTGTTATTCAAATCTGTAATGCAGTTTTGAAGAAATGTCTTGTTCACTGCGAATTTCGGCACGTATCGCCATATAACTCACGAATGAAGGTGAAATTAAAAAAAAAATCACAATCTGAACATCACCGTTAGGCGTTAGGTCCTAATGAATACGTGTTCCAAGTTTCATCGAGTTTAGACGTCTCGGACAAAAACGATATAACTCACGAATGAAGGCGAAATTCAAAAAATTGTCACGAGCTTGACATCACCGTCAGGCCATAATGAATACGTGTACCAAGTTTCATCGAGCTACGTTCAGTACTTTGGGAGANATGCCCTCCTTTGTCAACAGCTTCCTGGAATGCCACCAAATAAATCTCGCTGATAAGATGATTCGTGATCCCTAAGTAATATAATCATATTCATAATCAGAAAATTTTGCGCAGTAAAGTATTATTAGGTAAATTATTTTAGAAATTGATTCCGATTTCGCTGCACGCATTGTATTTAACTCATTCCTTGGTGCTCAAGCTGAATATGTATAGACTTCTCGTCGCAATGTACGTTTTTGTTATTCGAATCACAAATAGATCAAATTGGTAAGATTATCCAGGAAGACCTATTACTACCCTGCCTGTTCTCAAACTGGCGAAAAGCACTTTCAGTCATCAGAACATCAAGTGCCGCATCGCTCAGATGTTTAATTAGTCAATATCAGAGTGTAAGCCAGTTGAAGTAATAGATGTTCAAACTTTACTGGGCGTATGCATTTTTAATCCTCCAAAAGCCTGCTAGACCTTTTTTATGGTTTATATATGGCCTCCGATTAGTATATTTGAATTCTTGAAATTAATTACTACATTAATTCACAGTTTTAGATCAGACAATTTCTACCGACAAAACTGATTAACAATTTTTTTTACTCGTAATAAACGACCAAAATCTGTGAAATTCAACGTTGTATAATAAAAAGCTCCAAGATTGATTTAATATACTGGAAATTCGACTTCTTGCAAGGGCTGTGGGATTTCGCGTTCCTAGGGGGATTG